AAGCTGTTTGTTGTTATTTTAAGTCAAACTTTGGATGTTAAACTGCCGGATCTTCAAAATACGGAAATTTTTGCCATAGCCGACGCGTTTCTGATTTGATTGGCGTCCAGCTTTTCGGTCGTAGCGTTTATGAAATCCCTTATTTCTTCCCAAAATTCTCTAGGCGGGCCAGCTCCATTATTGCTATTCTGATCCATTAAGGAACCCAAAATCTTTTTCCCGAGCCAATCGAACTTTTCCTGCAGGAAAGTATTCCTTTGAAACCAATGAGTCAGTGACCGAACTGTGATTGACATTATTAGCAGGATTTTTATTCTGCTTTGGCTGTTTTGAGGCGTTCCCCCCCCTCCAGTCTTGGCCACTTACCGGTCCGCCGCGCACCACCACTAGTCCCCGAACTTCATGCCTCCTTCGTTTTTACACACGATGTTATACGAAGCGGACAATTGTCCCCGTCTCGCCAACATCGGTCTGGTAAATGGACCGGTCCCTTTTATAACGAGTAGACTACTCCTTGGACCGGTCCGGTTTTGTTTTTCTGCCAGACAGAAAAATCAATACACAAAAAAAAATTAATTCATTATAATTCTCTTTATTGGGTACATATTAAATACATAATACATTAAACTAATATGTGAAAATATTAACATTTATATTAATTCTTTATTTTAAAATTTTTTTCTTCTGTCCTGTATGTTCTCTTCTTAGACAGCTGCAGAGCTCTGTGCAACTCGTCTTCTGCTGAGCCTTCACAATAGATTTAAAAGCACTTCTGAAATTGTAAATTTATTTAATTGTACGAGTATATCATTTATTTGTATAAATACTTAATTCTTACCTTTTTATATGTAGCACTTTGCAAAACCCTTCGCTTTTACTGCGCAATTAACACACGCGTCACAGGCAGTACATTGCGGCAAACTAAATGTCAGAACAAGACAAAGCAGTCGGAGTCAGGGGAAACGCAAAATAATAGAAAAGCTTGTTGGTTTAATTAGCGCACAAAGTAAGGAGACTGGCCTAATATTTGTTTTTGTTCTTTGACGAAAGAACAAAGCACACGAGCATCAAATCGTTTCTTTTGCCACTGTTGCTCTGTCTTTCGATCGGGCAACGAAAGACGAGGCAAAATGTTTTCGTAACTCCGTTTTGTGTCGATGTCCTACCGGTATGGCACTGCCTTCCTAAAGGGACTGGTGTTGACACTCGTTGAGCTTAGCCCCGGTCCATGGGAAGCCCAATGCGGACAATTGCCACAAGCCGAACTGAAGGGTAGTGTTCATATGCAGACAGTAGCCTTGACATTGTCATGACCTACCTCAACTTGTATTTATGCACAAGCAATTTTGTTGATGGACTATTTCCTATTTTTGTTTGATTGCATATTGATTCATATTTTTTAAATTTCAGCTTCCTAGCTTTTACCGTTTGGGCTGTGCGTTGATCACCAATCAGTCACTCACTCAGTCAGTCAGGACAAACTGTTCTATATATAGAGATTAGAGCGATAACAATACATACATATGTATGTATGTGTGCTTTTGTAGGCATTATTAGAAACCCATACACTGTTGACAAAGTACACTTGCATACGTATCCCAAAATACAATGCGAAAGAAAATGGCAACAGTGTATGAAATTCTCATGCCCATGTAGCAGGTAAAATCTGAAAACGAAATTGAAGCTGCTGCTCTCAAAACAGCAAAGTAACAAAATGCACAAATACATATAAACATATACTACATGTACATATGGCACGCACATATTTAAAGAGCATAAGCGGCGCGGATCGACCGTCTCTGTTGACTGCCTCTCTGCAAATGAAATGAAATTCGCTCACAGAGAGCACGAATGCGACATCTCCCAGTCGGCTCAGCTGAAGTGCGACAGCTCCCATTCGGCAAATACCCGAACAGCTATGGGAGCTGTCGCTCACAATTTCGATGGGACGTTTTCGTTGTATGAAATGAAATATCTATATGTTGTATGGTTAGTGTTTGGAACCACACACCCAAGGAGAGGATTAGATGAGCCAGCCAGCGTTGCCCGAAGAAGCGTGGTCGTAACAAAATGTCTCAAAAGTGAAAGGTAAAATTTTTCAATGATTAAGTCTTGTGTTAATAAAATGTGTGTTTTCCTTTTCTTTTTTTTTAAGAAACAACAGTTTCTGAACCCAAAGTTGAAAGTGACGATGATAAACAAAGAAACTAAAGTAAATGAACATGCAAACACTAGCAATATTGCCCGAAATAATTTAGCATACAATCGACAGACCCGACCGATTTAGATCGATTAGTAAGGGTATCCGGATATTGGTGGAACCTTATTCTTACCCACCCCACCTAGATAACACCGATGTTGGTAATTAAGGGTTGTCCCTAGAAAAGCTTATAATCAAGCTAATCGGTTTGTTTAGTTTTGCCAATATGTTCAGCGATAGACCTCTAAAAATAAAGTTTAAGCCTTCATTTCTATTCTAGCAAATTTCATGATTTATTTTAATTTTTAAGTTGTAATTAAAATTCATTGTTTCAAAGTCGAAATGAAGAGATAATAAAGATACATATGTTAATAATCGGACATTAAGAATAATTGAACATAGCTCCGAAATAATTATGATAATGATAAGAAAAATTATAAAAGTAATTAAGTAGGATAAAACAAGATTTAGGCGTGTATAGATTCATATAAATGATTAAAAATTAAACGCACGTATGTAAATGTTTCATGATCAACTATAAAAGAGAAAAATTTGACTTACCACGCAATGCCGTCGTTGAGCTCAATAAGACCATGCTGGATTTCTTAGAAAATTACAATTATAATTACAAAATTATAGTGGATCCAAAATTTACATAAACATACATACGTGAGTTTCAGTTAAGTTTTAAAGATGAACAATAATTACTAAAAAATTAAATTAAAGTTTTTAACATGTGTTCCATTATCGTTTCATTTAAAATGACTTCTAATGTTTAAAGTCAGTTAAGATATCAAGAAAATTAATAAAAGAAAGCCATTTTGATGTCAGTTGGCGTAATGACACAGCAGCCGTACTGCCTGAAACACTACAAATAAAATTACCTGGCCACTCCAGAAGAAACTGAACAAACAACAAACTTGTTTGTGAATTCAATTTTTAAATTGCACTATTGCACTTCTAGCCCTATGTAATTTTCAGCCAAAGCCAATCTTGAACCAACAATAATGTTCTTGTTGGCACTTAGCCGAAGTCTGCAAAAACACGTGGGCATTGATAAGCAACGGTATAATCGTATGATGATGCTCCGCATTTCCAAGTTGACCGCAGCCACTAACCATACAACATACATATAGATGCGTCATTTCATACAACAAAATTGTTAGCGACAGCTCCCATAGCTGTTCGGGTATTTGCCGAATGGGAGCTGTCGCACTTCGGCTATGAGCCGACTGGGAGCTGTCGCATTCGTGCTCTCTGTGAGCGAATTTCATTTCATTCGCAGAGAGGCAGTCAATAGAGACGGTCGGTTCACGCCGCTTATGCTCTTTGTATGTGTGCGTGCACATATATACATGTATATGTTTATATGTATTTGTGCATTTGGTCTTTTGCTGTTTGCGAGCAGCAGCTTCAATTTCGTTTTCAGATTTTACCTGCTACATGGGCATGAGAATTGCATACACTGTTGCCATATTTCTGTCGCATTGTATTTTGGGATACGTATGCAAGTGAAGTTTGTCAATAGTGTATGGGTTTCTCATAATGCCTATAAAAGCACACATACATACAATTACATACATATGTATGTGTGCAAATGTTGTGTTCATATGCAGACAGTTCATATATGTATGAACGCGTGGCAGTAGCCTTGACATTGTCATGATCTGATCGATGTTTTCCGATGTTTTTTTGCTAACGATGCATCGTCGATCCATCGATGTTTGTCCAAACATCGAACATTATTCATGTTTTGTTTGACGGTCACATTTCTTTGTGTGGCTTACCGAAAATGGTATGTATATTTATATCATAAATTATTTGATGTTTTCGTTAAAATGTGTATTTTATAATATAAATTTTAGATTGTTAAGTATTTGATCTTCATTTTTTCGTATGTATGTCACACTTAATATGCCTAAGAGGTGCAGCTGCAACGCGTCGTTGTTTTAAAAACTGTTATAATAAGTCTTTTTAAGTAAGCCATACAAGTTCATCAAAAGTCAATATTACGAGTACTATTTTGATTAACACCATTAAGTAAAATGCTATGAGAGTCTCTTTTGATATATAAACACTTTTTATTTCAAGCTCCTCTGCTGATTAGCTCCCTAATAATAGCTTTTTTTCTATGGAAAGTTAATTTTTAAAAACATCGATGCATCGATGTTTTTTTTGCGATGCATCGACCATGCATCGATTTTTTATAACGAGACATCGATGTACATCAACATCGATGTTTTCCCTTCGACTTACATCCCTATTTTTTGCCCCAAATTCTCGCTGAATATGCAATTTACTCTCTTCAATTTTCTTTTGGTACGGCTATCCAAGCGTAACGCTGCATAGAATCGATACGCGTTGTTTGATGACTTGAACTAATGATTACAATGATTGCACATTTTGGGTTCTCAGTTCTCGTTAATTTTTTCTGAAAACAAATTGTAAAACTCAAATTTGATTAAAACGAAAGTAACTCACTGAGATTTGTTTGTGCATGTTAGTATAAATGCTGAAGGTATTTATACATGGTTGTATGAAAGTACGCTAGTACTAACTTTAAAACAATTCGTCCATTGTTAAAGTTTCAAGCGCAGCCTACACCACCAATCGTTTTCTATAAATACTATATATATGTTGTAATAAAATAAATATTTAAAAATTAAAATTGTATTTACCAATTTGCAGTATTCTTAACGTGCAGCTCTACGATTCAACTGTCGCAATTCCATCGATAGTTACGAAAAATAAAAATATCGATACTATCTATAATGCCATCGACAGCTTCCATTCTCTAGAACATTTGCTTATAATTAAGCAAGTCTAATACATTTAATTCTGACTGCTACCTATAATACTACTACTTCCGTCATTCCGGACAGGCAAAAGCTCAAGGCACAATATCATCAATACATAACTGTGGCCACATAGTAAAGACGCAATACAACTTCTGATAACACCAATCTTCAAGCAATGACGTCACACAGAAGAGAAGCCGTTTAACGGTCATAAAAATCTATGGCTATATTATGAAACATCTGTACTGTGGGTGAAATCTAAGGCTCAGTGCGAGACGCTTATATGAATTAGTGTTTATTATGTCTGAAGAGAGAAATCTAATTATTGTCACTGGATTTGGTCCATTTCTCGGACATGAGGAAGTTAATGCAAGCTGGGAGGCTGTGCAAATGCTACCAAACGAAGTCAATTACCAGGGCGTAGACTACATTGTGGAGAAACGTCTTGTGCCTGTCGAGTACAGGGCCGTCGATGAGGCGGTAACTGAAATTTGGGAGCGCCAGCCATTGGTAAATATTTATGTACATATGCACATCTGAAAATGCATATACAAGAATACATACATACATATGTATATAGATACACATGCATCTATATGACCCCAGCCCATCGACAATATTATGAAATATAATTAAACATACGTCATGCTTTTTTATTCCAGCTGGTCATACATTGTGGAGTGTCGGGCGTCGCGAAATGTGTGTACGTAGAGAAGTTAGCCTATAACCATAAATTTCGTCGCCCGGATAATACGGGGCAATATTTGCCCAACGGCAGCATCAGTCTCCCGCATCATAATAAAAACAACGTCTTGTTTTGCGGTTTGAATATAGATAAGATTGTCGATGTTGTAAATTCTGAATATAATGAGTGTACTGCTGAAGCGGCTCCGCCATACATTAATAATCAGAAGATGCAGGCCACTAAAGTTTCCAAAAATGTAGGTAGCTTTTTATGTGGCTACATTTATATAAAGTCCTTGGACATAAGTAAAGAACGCAGTTTATTTGTCCATGTTCCACCAATTGATACGCCATTTACCAAATTCCAGACCGGAGATATTCTTTTAAAAATTATAAAACAATGTATTCAACAGGTCGTGGCATGCAATCAAAAATAAATATTTCTTGTTTTAATACTTAGTTCAGACGTGTTTAGCATTTTGTTGTCTATCAAATTTAAGTGTACTACACATAATATATAAATGCTCTTTGCTAGCATTTTTTAAGCGACTATGATTATTTAGGCTGTTTTCAAAGTGCTTAAATCAACGCAGAATATTTTTATGGAAGACAACAGCAACCATATCAGCATATATTAAACTATTTTTTTTTTCAAGTTTTATTTATTTATCGAATCTTCTCTCACGGAGACTTACGATAAGTAGTCAAATCTTAATCTAATATAGTTATTTAATTAATTACAATTAAATATTTAAATTATGGCCCTAACTGTTATTGCTGGTTGGGAGGTTTTTATTTAATATTGATGTTGTTTAGCAACAATGGAGGACAAGTTTGTTTATTTAGGGTAAAGGTGACATGTTTGCACTTTTGCTCGTTTACATGTATGCACCAGCTAGCCATTCTTCTATTCAGGAGCAGTTTTTCGAATATCTTCGATAGGCACGGCAGGAGACTGATAGGTCTATATGATGATGGCTGAGACTTGTCCTTTCCGGCTTTATGGATCATTGTGATGACAGATTTTCTCCATTGTTCAAGATAATAGCCTCATTTCATCATGCTGTTTAAAATGATGGTGAGAAAATATACTACATAGCTCGGCAATTCAATGATCATTTTGGGGGAAATTAAATCGTGGCCCGGCGCTTTTTTTTTTTGCTTTGAAACTTGGCCCTTAATGACACTTGTAACTTCTCCTGCTTGGAATACGATAGGCATGGTTGCTTCAAGATGATTGGTTAGCTATTTGTTGCTGGATGTGGTTTGAAGACTTTTTCTAAATCTGCGTTGCTGCCCACTTTCCTCTTTATGTACGTAATGGTGATTCACTCTCGATTGGTGGACATACGCCTGATTTAGCTTTCCACAATGGAGTGGAATGTTTTGCCGCCAGTGACATTACAGACACTAATGCTTCAACTGAAGTATCTATGTCATCTTTACAGTTACTGTGGGTGGTCATAAAGGTGAAGAAGGATTGGCGAGTGATCCGCTGATAGATCTGTTAAGTGCTCCACACAAATCTGAGCCTGTGGCACTCTTCTTGTAACAGCAAAATCAATCAAGTCTGGTTGCTTCTTTGGATCTGTGAGCCAATATGTAGGTCAGCCCGGAGAAATGAAGTCGAGCTTGTTTCGTGGTGTTATTATAGCGTTATATAGTTATCTTCCTTTCGGGTTGATGAGACGGGATCCCCAATGTGTGTGTTTGGCATTGTAGTCACCAGCTGCTATGAAGCGGTCACCTAGTAGGTCGAAGAAATGTAAAAATTCTGCCTCAGAAACGGAGAAGCGCGGTGGACAGTATACTGCGGCTAGGCTTAAATAGCCGCTTTGTGTTTCGATATGAATTGTTGTGGCCTGTAGATAAGTTGTAGCAAATGATGGTTGGCACTATCCGTTGGGATAGTGCCTGATGCGACGCTTTATCAAGATGCCAGTACCTCCATGAGCCTTACCATCGGGATGAAGTTGTAGCCATTGAGATGAAAATAATTTTTGTTTGTTAGGTGAGTCTCTGATATAAGCATGGCGTCAATGTCATGTTGGTTGAGGAACTGCAAGAGCTCGCATTTGTGCTGTGAAATGCCATTCGCATTCCAGAAACATATTTTTAGTTAAGCCATTTAAGTAGATTTCTATTTTATTAGTAATTCCAGAAGGAGATTTTGATTGCGCATAATTTCCTGCATCGTTTGTTGCATTGCTACCATTGTATTTGTTAGAGTTACCAGAATTGATTCAATCCAACTAGGCAATTGGGATGGATTTGCAGTGGTATGTCGGGTAGGTTAATTATTCCTGCAGTGGTTTGTTTAGAGACTGAGGCGTACGACTCGTTGGTGTAACTTAACGCCTTAGCAAAAGATACTCCTGGAATCGTAGTTGATGGTATGTTGGGGAATTTTATATATTAAACTATTAACTAAAAAATAAACTTTTTGTGCTCGATGAAATGTTCGACGTTAGTAGGGATGCTCGGGGGAATTTGAGTGCTCGACGTTTTGCTCGCATAGAATAGAAATGTTTCTATCTTGGTACTGTTTGTTTGAACATAAGGTGCGCGAAATAATTAACTAGGACACTACGATTCATAGTATAACAAGAGAGAACGCTACAGTCGAGCAAGCCCGACAGTGTAATACCCTGTACCCAGGTAAACTTCCGTCACTGAGTTATATGCGCCCATAGCAGCAGCAAAAAGAGGAAGAAGAAGAGCGAACTTGTTGCTGCAGTTTGGGGGGGTTGTACTGGCGAGAATTTGTTTCGCTAATAACTTTTCTTAGAACCGACAGAATTGAATAAAATTTTAAACAACAGTAGACAATTATATATAAATTATGTGTGCAAAGTTTGGTTTAGGTAGCATTTGAAATGTGGACGCTATAGACGAAATTCTGCAGCGGGGGAAGGGGGGGGGAAATTAAAAAAAAAAAAATAAACTCGTCCTTACTCGGACCTAGGAGAATCTGGATGCCAACTTTCGTTATTCTAGCTTTTATAGTTTCTGAGATCCTCGCGTTCATCCAGACGGACAGACGGACAGAAAATATAATTAAAAAATTAAACAAAATATTGTCAAACGAAATAATTAACTAGGACCAATTCAGTGTTTATATGTTAAAACAGTAAAACAAACCTGTACTCACCACAAAAAAAGGAAATTTAAAAAAATTAAATTAATAAAAAAAAATGAATTAATTAATTAAATTAATAAAGAAAATTTATTTAATACATACATAGAAGACATGTTTATGTTCAGTTTTAACAGCATACATTTGCACCAAGTGTCTATGCGTGTTTATATGCGTGTATGTTTGCATCACAAAGTTGAACCAAACCAGCAACAACAACAACAGTTACTTTGTGGGGTCTGCCACGACTCCTTTAAATAATTTTAAACGATAAATAAGGTGCGTTGCAAAACTATAGAACCACTTAAAAAATTGCAATTGCTTAAAAACGACTGACTGTAGGGTACAACAATGTTCTGTGAAAATGTGTTAAAGACAAAATAAAAAAGAAATAACGGTATTTGGTAAAAAATTGTAGTGTAAAGTTGTAAGAAATATGGGAAAAACGGGTTTTTGCTGTTGCATTAATATAGAACCACTTGCGTTATATGCAATTTTTACTGGTTTTAGTCAGTGATACTCAGTTGTTGATTCAAGTAGAGTTGAACACGGAGAGAATAATTAATATGCCGCGTGGAAAAATATTACAAAATGTTGAAAAAGGGCAAATATTAGCATATAAAGAGCAAAATTTGGGCATTCGTGAAATTGCTAGAAAACTCGCTCGAAGTAACCATGTAATCTTGGAATTTTTGAAAGATCCGGAAGAAGGAAGGAAAAAAAAAATTAACCAACACGAAGAAAGTAACATTTTAAGGGCTGCGAGTAACTCAACCACGTGTTTGGCGGACCTTCAACAGATTGTTGACGTTCCCGTTCACCAATTGACTATTTCCAGGCTTTTAAAACGAAGCGAAATTGTTACATACGCTAAAATGGAAGCTGCCCCGAGACTATTGAAACGTCATAATCAGCCTAGGCTGGAATTGCAAAGAATAATAGGGCCAGAAACTGGGAATCTGTAAGAAAAAACATATCTTTATTATTTGAAGTTTTTAAAAACATTAACGGCTTAAGGTGATTTTTTCTGATGAAAAAAGTGGAACCTCGATGGTACAAGCGGTTTTCGAGGATACTGGCGCTATTTAAAGAAGGAGCCGTTGGTGTTTTCCAAGCGAAACTTTGGAGGAGGAAGTGCTATGACTTGGGCAGCATTTTCTGCATCAGGTTGCTTGGAAATCCAATCCGTATCATCGAAAATGAAGAGCAGCGACTACATTAATGTCCTAAAAATGGCCTAGTGCCTTTTATTAGGCAAAACCGGAAAAAACATGGACAATGCCAGGACAATGCCAAAATCCATGTAAGCCGAGAAACCATGTCCTGGTTTTCTGAAAAATCTATAGACGTTATGGACTGGCCGGCTTGTTCCCCAGACCTTAATCCGATCGAGATTATTTGGGGAATACTTGTCCGAAGGATCTATAAGGATTAAAGACAATTCGACAATGTTCATGAATTGAAAAGGGCAATAATAAGAGAATGTGAGCAATTGGAAGCAAATTTGCTCAAAACTCTTGTTAAATGCATGAAGAGTGACATTTTTGAGGCAATAATAAAAAAAGAAAGTCTTATTTAATAAATTTAAGCCATTTCAATACATTACAAATTATTATTCGTTTCAATATTGAAAATTTACGCAAGTGGTTCTATAGTAATGCAACACCAAAAAACCGTTTTTCCCATATTTCTTAAAATTGTACACTACAATTTTTTACCAAATACCGTTATTTCTTCCTTATTTTGTCTTTAACACATTTTCACAGAACATTGTTGTACCCTACAATCAGTCGTTTTAAAGCAATCGCAATTTTTAAAGTGGTTCTATAGTTTTTCAACGCACCTTATATTTGAAATGGAACACCCGTCGTTCAACACCTCAGATATTCAACTTGGCGTTGAATCCACAAAAATTTTGAGCATTTTAATGTCAAATTTTGCCCATTTCCGAATAATGGCTTCTCTTAACTCTTTTAGAGTTCCAAATTGCCTTCATTTGGCTTAAACCCGTTTAGGCAAGATGCCCTAAAGACATTATAACGGATTTAAGTCCGGGCCGAGTGTTAGCCACTCTAAAAGGGGAATTATTGAATCTCAAAAAAATCTTTAGTGAACTTTGCAGTATGAATGAGTGCATTATCCGGCTGTAAAATCTAGGCGTCACCGAAATAAATTCACTAAATTGGACTAAAACAGTCTTTTTCACGTCCACATTATGTTGTGCGTTCATTTTATGCATTATTAACCACATTGGTATCTTTCCATCAAACCCGAAGGCAGCCCATATCATGAGAAGCACACCCTAGATATTACCTTACATATT